TTTTTTTTTTTTTTTTGGTACCAGGGATTGAACTTGGGACCTTGCACTTTCGAGGCAGGCGCCGGAACCACTGAGCTAAATCCCCAGCCCTTTGTTTTGGTTTTTTGAGACAGTGTCTTGCTATGTAGTTCAGGCTGGCCTTGAACTCACCATGTAGCCCAGGCTGGCTTTGAAATCAAAGCGATCCTTCTGCCTCAGCCTCCTGAGTACTGGGATTAAACACATGCACCACAACACCTGGCTGGCTTCTACTTTGGTATTCCTAAACCACCAAGTAAAAAATCTAGTCTCCTAGTTGGAAAGACAATGTGGAGAGGCCACATGGAGAGAGAGTAACCCAGAGGCTATCTGGAGAAAAACCAGTTATAGGCAGTTAAGATGCTTTAGCTAACCCCCAATCAATTTAAGCTATCCTAATGAGGTGCCAAAGATGTGTGAAAAAAGCCTCTTTCACTTCCACAATCTCACTACCTCAGGCGGAGCTGAGGACCAGAGGACCACCCTCAATGTGCCTAAAATCCCTAGTCACAAAAACTATGGGAGATAATAAAACAGTTGTTACTTTCATGTTTTGATCCTATGTAACATCAGACAGCCAAATAGCATTCTCTCTACAGTAAATTTAAAAATTTCCATAATAAAAAGTAAAAATAAAGTGACACAAGAGGTCTTCAAATTACATTCAGAACTTGCTGTATTTTTTGTGACCCCTCCACAAATCTCTCATAGTAAAATTATACTACCAATAAGCAACACATTTTGATCCAAGCACATACTGTGAATATGCCTATCCCCTCCATGAGGTATTGTAAGATCCAAGAGAAATTTCAGAGTCCATTTTTCTATCAAATTTATAGTAATCACTCTCAGTCTGGCAAGTACCATAAGTACTTGGAAATATTACAACTCAAATGTTAGGTGAAGTGCCTGTTATTTCTTAAACTGTATTGTAGAGGGCTGGGGATTTAGCTCAGTGGTTCCAGCCTGCCTCGCAAGGGCAAGGTCCAGAGTTCGATCCCTGGTACCAAAAAATAAATAAATAAATAAACTGTATTGTAGAATATTAACTACCCTTTATCCACTTCACTGTGAAACAAAAACTTTCTATACTATGGAGGAGGGGGAGGCATAAAGCACTTTTTCTTAAATTTAAATCAATGTTACTCAACTCCTGGACCCAACCTGGGCCTACTGAACCAGAATCTTCTAACAGCAATGCCCAGAGAGTTAACAATTCTAAGAACCTCATCTGTGCTTCTTATGCACTAAGAACTATGGTATAAAGGGTGTGCCTTCACCCGTTCAGGTTCTAAGTATCATAAGACAAAAATAGGTCTACAGAACTCAGAAATCTTGATTAATGCACCACCCACCACAGCATGAGTAACTTCCTAAAATACAGCACTGTGAGATGACAAAAGTACAGAAAACCATTTAATGTTATCTGAGGCTTCATATGTTTAAAAAAAAAACAAAAAACTCAAGTTTTCAGTGGCTTCACATGTAGAAAGCCAAAATTTGGTCATCATTCCCACAGAAGAAAAGTTACTGAAGTAGTTAAGATTGGCCAAAAAAGGGAAGAGTATTAGTAACTCTGAAAAGCTCCCAAAGGACAGGACAGAACTCTGAAATGTGTTTATATGGGTGTTGAATGTGTGAGAAAAGGATGACGTAATCAGAACTAAGTGGACTTGAAGTGAAATTTAGTCAAGTGTTTTTACCATTATGCAGAAGACTTGTGCCCAGAACAGTTAAAGAAAGCTCGTGGTCAGCTTCCCACTTTAGATAAGCATGATTGTTAACTTGCCCATGCTATACAGAATTATCCCTTAAGGAATCATTTTACTGTTGTTTTAAATAAGTTTGGGGACTAGAGATGTAGCTCAGCAGTAGCATGTCAAGCCCACCACCACAAGATTTAAAAAAAAAAAAGAAAAATTATATTCTAGCTCTAGGAATTCTTTGAGACAGAATCTTATTATGTACTTCAGGCTGGCCTTGAACTCACAGCAATCCTAATCCTAAGAGATGCCCAGAATCTCTTCCCAAACTTTTAAATTTTTATTAGTACATGTTTATAGTACATAATGATTATATTCATAGTAAGGAGTTGGTAACTCTTTCTAAATTTTTTTTTTCTTTCTGAATTTTTAAGAAACAAGTAAAACCTAGTAAATGATTTAAAAAACAGAGGGGGAGAGGGAGATTGAAGTAAATATAAGGTAATTTCTAAAGATATTCTCCCTCTGCTCCCAAAATCGCTGTGCATTGATTATTCAATCAAACACTAACTAGGTACTGCCCTGAAGGAACACTATAGATAATTCCAATAATAGGGAGATTATCCTGGCTTATCCAGGTGAGCCCACCACAATCAAGCAGAAGAGAAAGGCAGAAGAGTCAGACTCAGCTCAGAAAAGAGAAGGCAGAAATCAGAAAGATTCCACTTAGGAGAAATAAGATAGGAAGTCAGAGAAGTTCCAATCATTTCATCCACAACCCTCAAGGACTCCCAGTTTTTCTGGCTTTGAAGATGGCAAAAGGAGGCCAGGAGCTAGGGAATGCTGGCAGCCTCCAGATACTGAGAACAAGTCCTGGCCAACAACAAGGAAGCAAACAGTGGCATAATTCCAATAACCTCAAGGCAGTGAATTCAGACAACAACCTGAATGAGCCCACAAGTGTTCTTTCCCACAGGCTCCACATAAAAAAAGCTCAGGCCAACCAACACCTTGATTTCAGCCTTATGGGACTGTAGCAAAGGTCTTCTGATCTAGAAAACTGAGGTAATAAATTTGTGTTGTCCTAAGCCACTTAATTTTTGGTAATTTGTTACAGCAGCTACAGAAAACTAATACAGTCCAAATAATTAACCTACAGTGTGAAATTATTACTGTCAAGTCAGACAACATTCATTCTTGCAAGAAAACTACATAGGAGACCAAATGTCAAAAACTGCTTGGTGGGCCAGGGATGTAGCTCAGCGGTGCAGTGCCTACCTGGCAAGTGTGAGGCCCTGAGTTTGATCCCCGGTTAAAAAAAAAAAAAAATTAAAACTTCTTGGTGAACTAGGAGATTGAGTTATACAGTTAATAGCTTTGAAAGCTGATAAAACTATTTTGACAAAGATATATACCTGCGGAATAGACCTGATACACACTTAGGCTTAATAAACCATTCTTCCTGCCAGGGCTTGGAGAGTCCTACATTAAAGGTAGCAATACAATCAATTAAATCACAGGCAATTCTTTCTCTTTTTTTCCTTCTTTTTTCTTTTTTTGCGGTGCTAGGGATTGATCCTAGGGCTCTGCACACACTAGGCAAATGTTCTACCACTAAACTGCATCCCCAGCCCTACAGCCAATTCTTATACTAGCCTATAAGCCAGTTTGCCTCTTTAAAGTCATTTTTATGCAAAGTATTAACTTAATTGCTCTGTATACATATAATTTAACTCTCACAGGACAACTCATTTCCCCAAGGCAGGGGGATGGAGTGCCAGACAGGATCTTCACCAATGGCAACATGAACCACATAGAAATACTGGGCTTGTTGACACGCATCTGTAATTTCAGCACCTGGGAGGATCCCAAGTTCAAGCCCGGCCTGGGCAACTTAGCAGGACCCTGTCTCAAAAAGGTGAGAGATGGCCGGGGATTTAGCTCAGTGGTTTTGCCATCTGCTGCACAAGCACAAGGACCCGAGTTCGATCCCTGGTACAAAAAAAAAGGTGAGAGAGGGAATGTACTATAGCTCAGTGTGAAGGCCCTGAGTTCAATACCCCATGGTGGGGGGGCCTCTTAGGATGCAGTGACGACTACTGCAAATACTGGTCACATAATGTTTATCAACAAACCTAAAAAGCAGGATACCTCTCATCCTTGCATCAGAGAATCTTGAAAAGTACTCTCTTAAAAATACCTTCTGAATTTGAAACAAAAATCTGAGTATATAACACTATTTTTTAAATAGTTCAATCCCTAGCACCACAATAACGAAACGTTTTGTACTTAAAAGAACTTAGTAGGTTCACAAAACTCTAACAAACTTACTGGATGATGATTATCAAATTCAGAAGAGAAGAAAAGAAAAAGATACTTGAGATAAAGAACACTAATTCCCATTCAGCCCTTGAAAAACAAAGGGAAATTCCCAGCAATTTCATCATTACCATTATTTCGTAAGTATGATCGCTTTGATGTTTCTTGTACTCAAATCCTCGAGTAAAACACTGCAAAGAGAGAAAAACTAAGTCACTAAAAGCTACTTTTAAAAATGCTTACTTAGCTACTGTGGCTTTCCTCACAATAGCCCATCCTACGTCCTGCAAGGTGTACTTTTATCTTGCTTTTTCCTCTTTTCCTCAGCCCAAGCTCGCTCTGCAGAGGCAGTTTCTCCCTCACCCTTCACCTTTGCTTTTTCAAATAAACTTTGCTACTGTTAAAAAAAAATGCTGGGCATTTAGCTCAGTGATTCCACCGCAAGCACAAGATCCCAAGTTTGATCCCTGGTACCAAAAAAAAAAAAATGCTTAAAGGCTAGGAGATAGTTGACAGGTGCTCTATTCTTGTGACATTTTTTAAGGATTAATCTTGTCTGCAGCTGCAACAGGATGGTGTATCTGTGACCACAGCTTATCAGGGTCCTCAAAATGAAAAGCTTGTTGAGTATAGGGGGATACTTTTTCCTGGGATAACTCCTCCCTCCATAATAGCATGAGCCTTGGAAATCAGACTGCCTAAATTTGAATCCCTGTTCCATAGTTACAATATTTCAGCAATCCTAAGACAATACTTTTCCGTATTTTAAAACTCTAAAATCAGAATTTATCTTATAATTAAAAGCATATCAAAAATTTCACCTGGGCCAGGGATTTAGCTCAGTGATTCTGCCGCCTGCCTCGCAAGCACAAGGTCCTGAGTTCGATCCCCAGTACCAAAAACAAAACAAAACAAAAAAATTTCACCAGCCATTTCTACATTTCAGTATTTCTGAAACTGGGATGTTGTTTATGATCAATACAGTGACTTGGGTCTGATAAAACATGGTCTTTGCTGTATGACTTAACTGTTCTTTGAATGAGTTTCATCTATAAAATGAGGATATTTATTTACTTCATAAGACTATAGTGGTAACTTAAGGATTAATCCACGTAAAGTACCCAAAATAGTGCCAGGCACAAACCACTTATATGTGTATTATTATTAACATCACAATCCACAAAATAAGTGTGTCCTTTTGTCACTTATACTGAGATCACTCTTCAATAAACAATAAAATAGTGTCATCAAATGTAACAATCCTCTAGTTCAGATTTCTGAAATCCTAATACTTTAAATTTACTTGGAAAAAAGTGTTAAGCATTAGGCTAATACACTTTGTGTAACAGTCATCAGTCTCAGTCATCTGCTATTCCTCAACTTTTCATTGGTAAAATGCATTAAGACAAGACTGACTGGAAGGAATAGATTTAATAAGGCATGCTCCTCCCAAGCAATCTGTAGTAATCTCTGAATTACTATACCCATAAAACTAGGCTAAGAGAGGCAAGCCTCTCCCTAGTGAGTTACCTGCAAGCAAAGAAAAAAAGGAGGTGGCCCACATTCAGCACACTTAATGTAAGGTTCCATGAGGTAGGAGGAGCAGCCTCTGCAAGGTGGCTTATCAGAGGGATCATCTGAAATAAAGAGAAAAAAAACACACCAGCTTTAAAACACCTTATGATTAGCATAAGTGCAAAAAAGGGAGAATTTGTAAATGACTACATAGATGAGTAAACTTATGTTGAAAATTACATGGAAACAACATGACCTCATTCCAAATAAACACAAAAATGTTCCTTTTTACTTCAGGGCAGCTTTGTTCCTTCCCACAGTGTACCCATTACTTCAAACAGCAATTAGGCAAAAAAGCACCCTAGGCACCAAGCAGCATACAAATAATCAGTACTGTTCTTTCAACTTTTCCATAAGCTTGGAATTTTTCATAATAAAAAGTTGGGCGTGGGGAATTCCTTTAAACCATCTTGGGACTTAAACTTCACATCTGAGTTGGAATTTAAACCCAGAAAAAGCTCCCTTTCTCCTGTGGTAGCAACAGAAGACAGCTGATCTTCCTCCAATTCTAATGGCAGCAGTACACCTCCAAGAAATTAAGGTAAGGAGCTTTTTCTTTTTTTGGTACTGGGGACTGAACCCAAGGACACTCTACTACTGAGCTATGTCCTTAGTCCTTTTTATTCTTTTAGACTGGGTCTTGCTAAGTTGCCCAGGATGGTCTCAAACTTGTGATCCTTCTGCCTAAGCAGCTGCAATTACAAACAAGAGCCACCACCACATACAGCCAAACTCTTTAAAGTCATAAAAAACAAAACAAAACCAGGCATGGTGGCACACACCTGTAATCCCTGCACTCTAGAAGAAAGTTCAAGGCCAGCCAAAACTACATAGTGAAACTCTTATCTCAAAAAGCCAAAACAGGGCCAGGGATTTAGCTCAGTGGTGCCACTGCCTGCCTTGCAAACGGAAGGTCCCAAGATCTATCCCCAGTACCGCCAAAAACCCAACCAAACAAACAAAAAAACCCACAAGAAAATAGATAAAAATAAGAGAGCCAGGTGCGGTGGCGCATGCCTGTAATCCCAGGACTGGGAGGCTGAGGCAGGAGGATGGCCTCAAGTTTGAGGCCAGCCTGAACTACAGAGCGAGACTGTCTCAAAAAAAAAAAAAAAGACATGGAGGAAAATGACAGAATAAAGAAATGTACAGCTAGCAGTAGTTTCAAATTAATTAAATGGAGCAGTTAACTACTCCACTTCTCCCATTTTAAATTTTAACACAAAAAACCCCAAAAGCTTTATTAAGTACTAGATGCCAATTTTTACCAAATTATTCTCTCACTTCTTGTTTTAGTTTAAGAGACAGAGTATCATTATATTGGTCAGGCTGGCCCTGAACTCTTCAGGTTCAAGCGATGCTCATGCCTCAGACTCCTGAGTAGTGGGATTATAGATATGTACCACTGCACCCAGCTCTGTTCTTTTAATATTTAAGCTTGCTTCTCTTTCCTCAAACTTTCCTCACAAAAATGCACCAGCCACTGACAAAAGTAGTTTTTAAACATTATGTCAAAAGAGGCAATTACTGCCAGGCACAATGGTGCACCCCTGTAATCCCAGGGCTCAGGAGGCTAAGGAGAACAATGAGTTCAAGGCCAGCCTAAACTACACAGTGAGACCCTGACTAAAAAACAGAAAAATTAAAAATTAAAATTAAGAAAAAGCAATTATTTTGTAAAAGTAATCCAATTTAGTTTTTTCCCAATTTATAGTTCTTAAAGTTTAGACCCGAAAAGTATGAAGTGTCCTCCATTATTAACATTTTGAAAAATATTTATTCAACCATTTGTTCTATTTATGTCTATATATTTAACAAAAGTAGGATACTATACGTGTTTTACAGCCTGTTTTTTTTTTCACTGGATAATATATTGTGGGCACCTTTTCATGGCCGTATACATATATCTTCATTGTCATTCTTACATCTTTTTCAGTACTGGGAAATGAACTCAGGACTTTATACATGCTAGGCAAGCACACTACCACTGAACTATGGCCTGAGCTTCTTCTTTGTCCTTTTTAATGTATGAGTAATATTCCATTGTATCAATTATCTAACCTGGTGGCTCTCAACTACTTCCTAGGAAGACAGATATTGTGAAAATCTAAGGAGGTGCTTTTTGTTGCCACAATGAGTAGGAATTTTTTTTTTTTACTCCTGGCATTTTGTAGGCAGAGTAGGGATTCTAGGTTTCCTACTGTGCTCAAGACAGGCCTAAACAACCAAACGCTGACTTGTTTCATGTGCAACTTTCAAGCATGCCACCAGGCTTTCAAGTAGATGAAAAACTTCACATGACCCAGATCCATATTACATATAACATACATACATATATATTTTGCTGGAGATCAAACCTAGTGCCTTGTGCATCTGAGGCACTCTACCACTGAACTATACCCTTACCCCCAAAGCAAAATATTTTTGACAGTTTTAGTATACATTTCTAGTAAGGCAACTGCATGTAATCCTAGAAGTGATTGTGTTTGGCTTGCTTGCTCACTCACTCGCTTTTTCTTTCCTTCTTTCTTTCTTCAGTACTGAGGATTAAATCCAGAGCTTTCACAATGAACTACATCCCCAATTCTTTATTTCTTTTTGAGACAGGTGCTCCTGAAATTGCCCATGTTGAGCTCAAATTTGTGATACTCTGCCTCAGCCTCCCAGAGTGCTGAGATTACAGGCACATGCCACTACACCTAGCAAGAGATTGTGTTTTGTTCAGGAATTACTCAGGGTTGAAATATTTCTTAGTCACTAATACAATACACCTGAATCATTTTACATTTGTAGTTGTAAGATGCTCTGTGATTCAGTGTTTTAATATATGGATACAAGCAACTGACTACTTAAGTCATCGTGTCTTCTATTGTAATCCTGCCTAAACACATTAAGATACTTGTAAGTTGCATTAATTCATTAAGTAAATTATTTATCTTTTATTAGTTAGGCCATTATTTTTTTTAAAAACATGTGTATATATTATCTATGTATTTCATTTCCAGTTAGTAAAGAGACTTCTAAAATATTATTATTATTATTATTTTTTTTTTGGTACCTGGGATTGAACTCGGGACCTTGCGCTTGCGCAGCAGGCAGCAGAACCACTGAGCTAAATCCTCGGCTAAAATATTATTAAAAATTACAAAGATGCCAGGCATTTAGCTCAGTGGTTTCACTGCCTGCTGCACAAGCGCAAGGACCCGAGTTCGATCCCCAGTACCAAAACCTAAATAAATAAATAAATAAAAATAGTATTAAAAAAAATTACAAAGATAGGGCCGGGGATTTAGCTCAGTGGTTTCGCCGTCTGCTGTGCAAGCGCAAGGTCCTGAGTTTGATCCCTGGTACCAAAAAAAAGAAATTATAAAGATAAATCATTAGGTCTCGTAGTTATTCTAACCAGTTACCCATGGGTAGGCATTTATATTATTTATGGCATTTCCAGTTTTCATTATTATAAAGATTGCTGAAGCCATGCGTGCCTGTAATCCTAGCACTCTGGGAGGCTGAGGCACAGGATCTCAAGTTTAAGCCCAGCCCGGACCACTTAGCAAGAACCTGTCTCAAAAGAGGTAAGGATATAGTTCAGAACAAAATCGCTAGGTTCAACCCCAGAACTACAAAAACAAAACAAAATGAAATGCTAAGATCAATACCGTTGTATGTACAACATTTCATATTTGTTTCTCAGGATACATATTTTCCTGTAACTGGAATCGTGGCATGTACAGAGACTTGTAGAGTATTTTTGAAATGTTTGATACATATAGTCAAATGTCCTTTTTGGAAACCGAAAGGTATCCCAGAATTTTTTTTTTTGGTACCAGAGATCGAACTCAGGACCTTCTGCTTGCGAGGTCAGTGGCGGAACCACTGAGCTAAACCCCAGGAACATTTCAGAATTTTTCTACGATCTAGAAGTAGAGAAAGGATTTTTAAAAACCATCATTCAAGGGGCAGGGATTTAGCTTAGTGGCATCGCGACTGCCTCGAAAGCACAAGGTCCTGAGTTCGATCCCCGGTACCGCACACAAAAAAACCAAAACCAAAACCAAAACAACAAAAAAACCCGTCATTCAAAATCAGAGGCATAAAATTAGTTAAGTTTACTACAAAAACAAAAACTTTTTTTTACAAAAACACTATAAACAGTAAAAAAGCTTGTTAAGCAGAAGAAAATATTTGCAAATATATGACAGATGAAGGGTTGAAATTCCTAATATGCAAAGAACTTGCCTAGCATGCCTGAGGCCCTGGGTTTGATCCCCAGCACTGGGAGGAAAAAAAAAGTCAGACATGGTGGCACTTCTGTAGTCCCAAATATCTGGGAAGCTGAGGCAGGACTGCTTGAACCGAAGAGTTGGATACCAACCTGGAAAACACAGCAGACCCACATCTCAAAAAATGGGGTGCAGATGGCCATAAGAATGGCCTTCAATATGTACATGAATAAACTTTTCTGGCTGGGCGTGGTAGTACAAGCCTGTAATTCCAGCACTCAGAAGGCTGAGGCAAAAGGATCACCACAAATTCAATGTCAGCCTGGCCTATACAGTGAGTTCAGGGCCAGCCTGAACTATAAGGCGAGACTCTGTCTCAAAACAAACAAACAAAAAACAAAAAGCAAAACTTGTTCTGCTTTATTCATAAGAGAAATTAAAATTAAAACTACTCTGAGATAGAATCTCTTACTCATGAAATTAGCAAAAATTCCAAAGCTTGACAATATTCTTTCTTAGCAGGGCTGTGGGAAAATGAGCATTCATATATTGCTAGTGGGAATGTAAAATAGTTCAGCTCTATAGAGGGAATTTAGCAATATCTACACAAAATTGCATTATTTTCTGAACCAGCAATCTGGCTTCTAGAAATTTACTCTGAATACACATTTCCAATAACCAAAATACATCTTCCCAAGATTATGCTTTAAAACATTATTTGTGATTTCAGTTTATTACTTAGATGGCCAAGCACTGGATATTATTTCAATAAACTACTGGTACTACCAATAAATGGACCATTATAGAACTATTAAAATAAAGAATGGAAGCTGGGGGTGTAGCTCAGTGGTAGAGCACTTGCTTGGCATGTGTGAAGTTCTGGGTTGAATCCCCAGCACCACACAAAAAAAAAAAAAGAGAGAGAGAGGACAATCTCTATAAATTAATGTAGTATTTCCAGGAGTTACTATTAAAGCGGGGGGGGAACCTCACAAAGTACAAAAGAACATATATAATTTGCTATCATCCCTATAAGAAGTTACGGAAAAAAATACATCCTCTGTTCTTTGCAAAAAGAAATAAAGGATAAACCAGAATAATCAAGTTGGATAACTATAAGAGGTCACAGAAACTAAAATATAGTGGAAGAGATATAGGAGTTGAGTGGTATTTCTCCAAATACACTTTTGCTGTCATTATAATAAAGATTTGATCAAGCAAAAACCTAAAGATGCCGGGGACTTAGCTCAGCGGTTCCACCGCCTGCCTCACAAGCGCAAGGACCCAAGTTCAATCCCCAGTACCAAAAAAAACCCTAAAGATGCTAAATTTTCCAAGACTCTGGAAGCCAGGGTGGGCAGATTATTTGAGTCTAGGCGTTTAAGATCAGCCTGGACAATGTATCAAGACCGTGTCTCAAAAAAACAAGTGTGACTCACCCTTTTTTTGTTTGGTTTGGTCTTTTGTTTTTTGAGACAGGGTCTCGATATGTAGTTCAGACTGGCCTTGAATCCACTATGTGTAATCTAGGCTGGCCTCCTTCCTCAACCTCCTCAGTGCTGGGATTATAGGCATGCGCTACCATGCCAACAGCTCAGGCCTTTTTAAACAATTGTCTCCCTCTACAGTTTTTTTTTTTCTCCTCTACAGAGTTTTAATATCATGGATATATCATAAATCTATTTGTCTATATATGCATGTACATAAAAAGAATAAAGATATTGTTGTTCCTTGAGAATACGACTTTTCAGGAGGTTGAGTTAGGAGGACTGCCGTGAGTTCGAGGTAGTCTATAATTTTAGCACTCAGGAGGCTGAGGCACAAGCGTCACTTGAGTTCCAGGCCTGCCTAGACTACATAGTGAATTCAAGGCCAGGGTGGACTACACAGCAAGACCCTGTCTCAAAAAAAAAAAAAAAAAGAAAGAAAAAGAGAGAGAGAGAGAGAAAAGAGATACTAGATATCAAGGGAGAAATTTTGATGAAACAGCATTTTTTTTTTTTCCTGAAATTTTCTCTCCATGGGTTGCTTATTATTTGCAAGGGAAAAACCAAAATATGTATGAATATTCTTTGTATTCTTATTCTTTTAGAGGTAGATTTTTTTTTTTTTTGGTACTGGGGATTGAACTCTGGACCTTGCACTTTCGAGGCAGGTAGTGGAACCGCTGAGCTAAATCCCGGACACCTGTATTCTTATTCTTACAACTCTCTCTGCATTTAAAAATATTTCTAGGGGCTGGGGATTTAGCTCAGTGGTTTCACCGCCTGCTGCACAAGCGCAAGGACCTGAGTTCGATCCCCGGTACCAAGAAAAAATATATATATGTATTTCTAATTAAACTTAACAATTGTTTTTTACATATACTTTTTTGTGTATGGTGCTGGAGATCAAACCTAGAACCTTTCACATGCTCGATAAATGCTGTATCACTGAGCTGCAAATCCAGCCCTAGGAGGGGAGGGATTTTAGTTTATGTGCCTATCATCAAAACAATTTATTAGATTCTCCATATGTAAAACAAACGGACTGAACTAAGAGCATCTGAAGGTTCCATTCTGTTCTAAATTTATATGAGTATGATGAAAGAGTAAATTAGAGCTCCTTATGGAACTGATAAAGAGCTGGATATGGTGGTACACACCTATAATCTCAGCACTCTGGGAGGCTGAGGCAGGAGGATGGCAAGTTTGAGCCCAGCCAGAGCAACTTAGGGAGGCTGTCTCAAAATAAAAAGGCCTGGAGACTTAGCTCAGTGTAAAGAGCCTGGGTTCAATCCCCAGTACCACAGTGGAAGGGAAAAAAAAACCACTGCTGAAGCAGCCAGTTACGGTGGCAAAAGCCTGTAATTCCAGAACTTGGTTGGCTGAAGCAGGAGAATCAAAGAGCTCAAGGCCAGCTTGAGCTACAGAGTAAATTCATGGCTAGCCTGGATTACATAGCGAGACTCTGTCTTAAAAACAGAAGAAAAAATTGTTGAATAAACAAAACCCCAAAAGTACTCCACTGTTGTGACTTAAATTTATTTCACACATATAACTATACCATAATTCTCTGCATTATTATTTTTACTGTAGTTTACTCTCAGAACAGTGGTGCCACTTAAAAGGGGGAAATACGTTATCGGTTTTAAAAAGAAATCCCACTGCCTTTTTAATTAAAGAAAAATATTTCATTAAAATTTATTTTTATTTTTAATTGACACATAATTATACATACTTATGAGGTACAGTGTGACATTTCAATACATGTATACAATGTGTAATGATTAAATCAGGACAAGTGGTGGATCCATCACCTCAGAAATTTGTTTCTTTGTGTTGGGAACATCAAAATCCAGCCCTCCTGCTATTCTGAAATATATAATTATTGTCAACCGCAGTTATCCTACTGTGGTATAAAACATTATCCACCCCGCTCACCCCACTGGTTAAGTTTAACTACAGGTTAATCCTATCATGCCTGGTCCATTCAGCTTTGTTTTAGACTCAGGGTAATATATTTGTGTCATATATACATATGTGATATGGAGACAATAACAACTGGCTGATTTTATTTTGTCTTTTTTTTTTTTTTTTGGTACCAGGGATCGAACTCAAAACCTTGTGCTTGCGAGGCAGGCGGCAGAACCACTGAGCTAAATCCCTGGCCCTGGCTGAGTTTGTTTTGATTTGAAACTCATAATTCCTTTGGACTCAGACCCATAGCCCATTACTGCTTAACTTCAAAGGGCTTATTTTTCTTCCTTGACCAACTTGTACTTCAGTTTGCTACTAATATTCACTTGAGACTTGTTCCCATTGTACTTACTGCTAAAGGAACCCAAACGGTCCATTCCTTAATTGCCAAAGGTTGCTGCTTTGACCGTCCTCAGTGCACAACTTCTTCAAGATCTAGAACTGGCCAACACATACACCAACGCTTGAGGACTCCTTAAGAACAAAAAGAGTGGCACATGGATTAGACAAACATCCAAAGGGACGAGAAGATAACATATTTATTTCTACCACCTTCTCACTTTGTAATGCTGAGAAAATTATTTTACCTCAGTAAAATTCTCTCTCCTTTGTAAAATGGGTATAATAGTATCCACCTCTCAGAGTTGTGAGAATTAAATGTCATAATCAAATATCAAAACCCATATAATGCAGCATGGCTCCTAGTCCATAGCCAGTCCTTTGTAAATGTTACATATTTCTAATGAACAACTACTATTTTTCTCTGCCTAGCATCACTTTTTTTTAAGCATCACTTTTCTTTTTAGCTCTCTTTTCCTTGAACTGATTATCCTGTATTTCTTATGGTATTGGTGGGGCTGCCAATCACATACCAAATCCCTAGACCCACAGAAGATACACCAGATTTTTTTTTCTTACAGAAATCTGAGTTTTTTGTTTTCGTTTTTGCTTTTGAGACAGGGCCTTACTATGTAGTTCAAACTGGCCTTAAACTCACTATGTAGCCCAGGCTGGACTTGAGGCAATCCTTCTGCCTCAGCTTCCAGAGTGCTGGGATTACATGTGTGCACTACCAGGCTTAGCCCTAGAAATCTGGATTGTATTAAGACAGAAAGCAGTTGGAGCTCAGTCATTCATTAGTCCAAGAATTTGGTCCATGATCTCTGGCTGTTGAGATCCCTATGCCCTTGTGGTTCAACTGTGTAATTCCTCTCTAATTTATCTTTTCAATAAAACTTCAACCTGAAAACCAAGGAACTCTATCTATTACAACATATATTTGTTTACTCATTTGCTCTTTGAACAAATGTACAGAGTCTCTCTTTTTTTTTTTTTTGGTACCAGGGATCGAACTCAAGACCTTGTGCTTGTGAGGCAGGCGGCAGAACCACTGAGCTAAATTCCCAGCCCCAGAGTATCGTTTTTGAAGGAAGAATGAAATCGTATTTCGCACTAAGCCTTTCTTTGATAGGCCCATAACTTCTGCTGTATAGCCCCATAACTTTTTATCTATTTTCTGAAATTTTCATATTTTATATATATATATATATATATATTTTTTTTTTTCCTGGTACCAGGGATCGAACTTGGGACCTTGTGCTTTCGAGGCAGGCAGTGGAACTACTGAGCTAAATCCCCAGCAAAAATGATATATCTTTTTTTTTTTGTACCGGGGATCAAACTCAGGACCTTGCGCTTGCGAGGCAGGTGGCAGAACCACTGAGCTAAATCCCCAGCCCGGTACATTTTAAATATACATAACATTCATCATAGGGAATCTGTACCTGTACATGCTATATCTTAATTCTTTTTTCCCATTCCCCTCCCCTCCCTTCAATCCCTCTTCCCGACTTTACAAAACCTTTGTTTCCTTTTACTACTATTCCTTTTCTTTTCCTTCCTTCCTTTCTCCCTCCCCCTTCCCTAGCTCCCCTTCCCATTTAAACATTTTCTTCCTATTTCATAATATCTATTAGACATTTTGGTCCTTATTTACCCTTTGTTTCTCACACCAGAGAAATAATGATATTTACACATGTATGTTTGATTTCACTTAAGAGTATGGTCACCAATTTATCTAGAAAGGTCTCAAGTTTATCCTTCTTTATGACAGAGTAGTACTCCATTGTATTAAACAAAACCCCACATCTTCTTTATCATTCATCGGCTGATGGGCACTTGGGCTGTTTCCAAGATTTAGCTATTACCACCTGTGCCGCTATCAACATGGGTGTGCCTACATCGCCATGGTAACACTCCACGTTTCAAGGCATAATACTGCAAAAAGCAGAATCTTTTTTTTCCTTCCTCTCCTCATTTCTTCTCACAAAGACCATACTGTGACACTAACATCCATAAGAGGATGGACGCCAGATCCAAATTCGAAAGTTACTGGAAGGAGAAAGGTAAGTACTGTGCTGTGAGGGACCGGATTCCGCGTGGTGCACAGAAGGGGAGGCTTTGCAGTTTTGCAGCCAACGTCCCAATCCTTACTTCATTATTTTTTCTAAGTCCGAGCTCTAAAGTGGAGCGAAAACACCTCCGTGCAAGTTCAGTGTCGATGAAGGGCTCGACACATAGCGGCAGAGACCAGAGTCCCCGAGCGCTCCATGGGAGAGAGGAGACCAGCGCACGGAGGCGGGGCCGCCGGACTGGGGGCGGGGCCGCGCACCGCCCTCCCTCCCCCACAGTGCGGCGTGGCCGAGTGCCGCTCGCCGCGCTCTTCTGTCGCCGTACCCCGCACCCCCAGACTCTATTTCCCCTCAGTCCTGCTAGAAAGGCTCGCGCTGGCCCTAGCTCCCAGCGCCTCATCTCGAAGCTTCTCCTACCTCAACACAGGAGCGGCCGGCCGCGCACTGCCTCGGCTCGCGTGCGCTGCCCTAGGCCCTACGTGCCCGCTCCCAGCATGCGCGCGCGCTCCCGGGCCGCGCAGCCACCGCCTCCGTCCCCGCCCTTTCCCTTCCCTGTCCCCATTCTCGGCCACTCTTCGGTCCCTCCTCCTCATCCCTGGTCCTCGCCTGTGCCTGTCGCCGGCAGAGGTCCGGGTGCCTGAGGACTGGGAGGATGGAGCCAAGCTGCTTGCCTGGCTGTTGATTCTGACCCGTGATCACTTTTTCCCATGTGGCGTTTGGCCCGTCGCCGGAGGCTTCCTGTTGGTGGCGCTGTTTGGTCCCCTCTGGAGTGCGGTGAGGCCGACTCGGCTGGAACAGTCTGGGTTTTGTGATAACATTCCCACTCCCGCCCCTGTTGCCTCCAAGGGAACTGAAGCTGAGGCTCTGGGCCCAAGGACAGCAAGCCGTGGCCGTCTCTCCAGCCTGGGCCACGCAGTACCGCTCATGGATTAACCAGACTCTGGTGAAGAGGGTACGTTCGTTCAGAGGCTCCTGGAACGTCGACAGTATCTCCTTTGGGAAGAACCATTCCCTTTTTGGGCTTCAGATGCCCAAATGGAGGTGCAATGATGAGAGGATGTGGTGGTCCACTCTGATTTCAATCTTGAGGGCTAGGTATGTCCCAACATCTCTTACTACTAGTAGTGATTACTATGATAGCTACCATTTGTTGAGTACTTACTGCATGCCTGGCATTGTACAAAGCAGGTTACACCCATGGTCTCATTCAAAACAGCTTTATGGCAGTATTATCCCCATTTTCTAGGGGTGAATATATATACATGTATGTACATATTTGGGGTCACACTGCTAGGAAGTGTTGAGGAAGGGGATTTAAACCATGGCCTAGCTAGCTTAACCTTGATGCTGTTGTATGTATTCAGAAGTCTGTCTCTGATAAATTTTGCTCAACTTCTTTTAGAATTCACGTACACTTCCTACCTGTGTGGACCCTCTATTCGTTTTTTAGTATGTGTAATACAAGTTCAAGGTTAAAAAAAAGAACAGGAAATTTTGCATGAGTGGAAATTAATGTGAAAACCATCTCCCACCATGTTCAATAAATAGTTAAGATTTTGATATATACCTTCTAGGCATTTTTCTATCCATCATGTCAATAAACACAGGGTATTTTACATATGATATATGCTAAAATCTGTTCATTCATTCAACAAATATTTAATGGGCAGACGCTGTCCTAGAAATTTAGTAGTGAACAAAGCAAAGTCTGCCTCGTAGAGTTCATATAGTAGTGGGAGAGACTGACAACAAGCAATGCACATGTATTACTAATAGATAATGTCCAGTAATGTGGTTTTATGGAAAAATAAGGCAAGATAAATGGATAAAAGTGATGTGAGTTTGATCCCTGGTACCAAAAAAAAGTGACGTGAGAATTGTCTTTTAGTTAGGATAGACAAGAAAGGCTTCTTTGCAGAGGAGTCACATAAACAGAAATCTAATCATTTAATGAGAAAGGAAGCTAGAGGGAAACTAGAAGAGAGACAGCAAGTGCAGTGGCCCAGACACAGGGACTCATTTGGCATAGAGTAGAAGCAAGGAGACCAAAAGGCTAGAACACAGCAAATTGGAAAAATAAGATAGAAAACATAAAAGAACACCTGACGGGCTGGAGATGTAGCTCAGAGGTAGAGCACTTGCCTACCATGTATAAAGGCCTAGGTTCAATCCTCAGCACTGAAAAAAAAAAAAAAAAAAAAACCCAAACAACAAAAACGTAGTAAGAAGTCAGATTGTATATCATGTCATACTACTGTGGAACAAAACCCATCTAATACTGGGATCTGTTCACTTAAACAGCATTTGCCAGATGTGGTGGTGGGAGCTTGTACTCCTAAGACTGAGAGTTTCAGGTGAGCCTGGGAAACTTAATGAGACCCTAGCTTAAAATAAGAAATAAAGACGTGGGGATGCAACTCAGTGCTAGAGTGCCCCTGGGTTTGATCTCCAGTACTGCAAAATAAACAATGAATAAAAATTTAAAAATAAGCAAAGCAGCATTCACAGTGGTACAAGCCAGTAATCCTAATTACTCAGGAAAGCTGAAGCAGAAGGATCACAAGTTCAAGGCTAGCCTAAGCAACTTAACCCTTGTCTCAAAATAAAATGAAAGGAAAAAATAAAAATAAAAAAAAAAATAAAATGAAAGGGCTGGGAATGTATCTCAGCAGTAGAATATCCCTAGGTTCAAAGCCCAGTATGGGGGAGGAGGCCTCTAAAACATAGCATTCAGCCACCTGGAAATTACCTTTCCTCTTCAATTGATGTTAGGCCCTCTTTAGAATTAATTCTAGGGCCAGGGATTTAGCTCAGTGGTTCCTCCTCCTTCCTCAAAAGCACAAGGTCCCGAGTTTGATCCCCAGTACCAAAAAAAAAAAAAAAAAAAAATTAACTCTAAGCCCCAATTTAGCATGCTTAAGAAAGACCCAGACAGGGCTGTGGATTTAGCTCAGTGGTTTTGCCACCTGCCTCATAAGCACAAGGACCCAGGTTCAATCCCCAGTACCAAAAAAAAAAAAAGACCCAGACAAATTAAAATGCACAGTGTGGGGAAGGCTAAAACTGGTGAAAGGCTTTTCGGGGTTTTTGCCTTAGGCAATGTTGTGATAGTGGCATCACTTACAAAATCAGATAAAGGGAATAGGAAAGGCCAGATTTGGAGGAAAAATTAGAAGTTCTGTCTAGGATTGGTGTTTTGCATTTTAACTGTAAATGATGAATAGGAGTCTAGAGCTTAGTAGAAAGGTCAGGGCTAGAACTGTGTAACTGTAGTAGAATTGGTTCTTTGTGTCTTCCCCAGAGGTTGAGAATAGATAGTCTTTTCTTCTTTGTAACTCCATCATTCAGAAATATATCCTCAACAAATATTTGTGAAATGAACAAATAAAATCAAGGGTATTAATGAAATTACTCAGGCAAAATGTAGAATATAAAAAGAAAATATGCACTCTGTGCTTTCATAAGGCAATCCAAGCACCTGGATATGATTTATGAGTAGACAGACCTGATTTGCTCAGTCAGTTCCTGGACTACACATGTTGTCCCTAAGTAATTATTGCTTTGGTTCACCCTCAGAAGTGAACAATAAATTTGGACAATAAATTTCTAGGTCACTGTTTATAGAAGACCCTTAAGGGTCTAGCTTCTTCCGGTATAGTATCTTTATCATCACTGTCCCATCTGACAATTCATTTCTCCAGTCAAATGGAAGTACCTCCATTTCTTCCATGCAATGACTTCCTAGCTGCTTTTGCCAATGTATTGCCTACCTCGTCATGGACTTTACTTCCTCAGGAACCCTTCTCCTGAGCCCCCGAGGGCTGAATTAGGTAGCCCACTTACATATCCCAGTGTACTCTGTATTTAACCTGTCATAGCAAAAGTGACCAAATTCCTTATTTCCTCACTAGATGTCTCTGTAGAGGAACCTGATAAAACACCTCTTGTCCTTTTTAAAGAAATTTTTTTGAGACAAGATCTCTAGTTCAGGCTGGCCTTGAACTCACTTTGTAGCCTACACTGGCCTCGAACTAATAGCAATCCTACTTCCTCAGATCCTTTCTTTTCTTTTTTTTGGTACTCGGGATTGCACTCGAGACCTTGTGCTTGTGAGGCAGGCGCAGTGCCGCTGAGCTAAATCCCTGGCCCAGATCCTTTCATTTTTAACTAAAGAAGTTGACTTTTGAAGTAGAAACCCAACAAGGAAAATTATATCCAAATGTATCCCAAAAGTTCCTCCTCAGCTACTTAGCTACTGTGGTTAGAAACAAAAATGCAGTTTACAAGCCTCCCTCCTTATGAAAATAATGCTCCGATATGTCTAATTACTTCTTATATCCTGAGTGCTTAGAGACTATAAACTTTATCTCATCTAATCTTCCATATTTTTCATGTAACTGAGTTGGCTCCTTGTAGTTTGGTATACAAATAGATAAAGAAAATATTTAAAAATCTGGCCATGCTTTCTAGGCCTCGACTTCCTCCCCTTTCTGCTGAGATACACCACATCTGTGTAAACTTAGCTAGAGATTGAGGACCTAGAACAGACCACTTGTCCGACCACAGGGGATCTTCGAGGCAGGGAGCCTTCCTGTGATGGGGTCAGTGGGAAGAGCACTTCACCTCACAAAGAGCCAGCACCCCAAGGGTTACAGCTTTTGAGGTTCACATACTAAGGCACTTTCACTGAAGCCCTGGCTTTATGATCCTCCCTTGTCTATGCTGCACCCTTGCTCTCCTCCTTCCCTCCCCTTCAGGGGACCCTTCCCTGTGTGTGTGTGTGTCTCTCTCTCTCTCTCTTTGGGCTCACTCTTGTCAAAGGAAGTGAGCAATCAAACCTTTCCCTGACAGAAAGTTTCTAGATCGCTTATATAATGGAATCTACCCTGCCATGACCAGTCTGCCAGGGAAGGGATGAAACACCTGCTAATCTACTTAAACACAGCCATTTCTCCTTGCCTGATGTGTTTCTGCACAGGTAGGAGGAGCCTTAGGATCTCAAAGTGAGAAAAGAAGAAAATTGTACTAAAGGACCCTACTGCATCCCACAAAGACAAGACTTAGAGAGGTGAAATGACTTGCCCTACGTTATTCAGTTATGTACTAGGTAGCATGGCCAGAATAAAACTAGATCTGTCCACACAGCAAAGAAAACAATCAATAAAGTAAAAAAATGACCTACAGAATGAGGGAAAATACTTGTGAGCAACATATTTGATAAGAGGTTAATATCCAAAATATA